TATTTATTTTCTCCCTTCTACTTAGTCCAAGATTGGACATTGTTGAGTTTTGTTTGAACAGTGTTTGTTATGCTAAAAAAGGACACTGGGCCTGGGGGAACTCATCCTGTGTCTAGATCAACAAATAGAACTCCGGAGGATTCCTGATCCTCTGGTTCCTCCCACGTGGTTTGAAAGGTGCTTACCCTTTCCAATCAAATATTGACTTCTGCACTAATCCAAAGGGTTTTTTTTCTGAAGCTGTAAACTGAAAACAGAAATATTGCCTTGAGTGAGAGAAATCTAGGAAGCAGTAGGTTTCATTTTTTGTCAGCCTGCCTGGCCTTTACTTGGCTAACACTTGGGAGTGTTGACAGTCCTGAGCCCTCTTGGCAGAGAACAAAGGTTAGAAAGAGAGAAGCCCTCAGGCAGGGGGGACAGATCTCTCTTTGCCTCATTAGGGAGAATTCAGCCTTGTCTGTCTGGTTGGCAGGGCACACTTAATCACTGAGACTCAGCATTTCAGCAGTTTGCAAAGGAAAGTGATATGAAGGGACAGCTGCAAGTAAGTCACAGCTTAGATCTGAAGAGATCAAGCACTCACTTCACTTGGAGGAAAGAGAGAAGGAAGGAAGCTGAGGACTTAGCAGGGTAAGTTTTTTCCGTCAACCTGTCTGCTTCCTTAGTTTATAATTGAGTAAAGTATTTATCACCCCAGGCAGTGTTAATCACTGATTAAACAGCTGAATGTGGCCGTAATTACAGTGTCCTTAATGTATTTCTCCTTTTCTTTTCCTGCCACCTTATAAGGATCTCCAATGACCAGTTTCACTCTCCCTTCTCCCTACCTTCCCAAAGATGTTTTGCATTTTTTGGTGACTTACAGAAAATTAGATGAGCACTCCTTATCTGCAGATAGTGAAAATATGACTGTAGTTTAGGTGAAGCTTGGGACTCTTGGTGGTAAAGCAGAAGATGGGAAACCTAGGTCTAGGAATAGATTAATATTTTGACTTGTAATTTGGATATGAAGGATAAAAGTTTTTCTAGGCAATCAAGATCGTGTCTCCTCTCCTCTCCTCTCCAGTTCTTGGTGTTGGTGTTCTTTCTCTCATACTGGGACTAAATTAGAGCCTAAGTCACTGGGGATGGCTAGAAAAAAATGAAAGGGATTCCCTTTCTAAGTGGAGAACATTCTGGACTCTGGAAAGTTCAAAGAGCTTATTGCAGTTCTTTCCAGCTTCTCCCGTGTGTCCCCTGTTTTTTCCTTTGTTTCTCTCAGTTTATAACCCATAAACAGGGAGGAGCCTGGGGCTCTTTGCAGGAAAATTAGAACCAGGGAAGCTGTGTCTGGGCCTGGGGTATACAAACTCAAACATGAACCTGATGATATATATAGATGCAGATCAAAGACCTGGCTTCTCACCCACCTTCTTACTTTTCTGCCAGAAAGCTAACTCATTTGTATCACGAACATTGTGCTCTAGACACAGAGGAGACTGTGACATTAGGGATTTTTTACCACCACTCCTCTTCCCCAAACTGTGTGATACTTCTGCTTTCTAACCAGTTCAACCAACTCCCAGATTGCCAAGAGCTAATCTTCCATTAGAAGAAGACCTCTCCTTGGAAATGCAGATAAATAAAGCAGTACCTTTCTGACTTTAAGTGACTTGCTTCCATTGCAGCAAAAAGGCTTATGTTTTAACCTCAGGGAGATACCTATTATAAATTCTGGGACTTAAGACCCTAGAGTTGTCTTAAATCACACTTCTCCTTCCATACCTATTAAAAAAAAAAAAAAGTCCATTCTTTCAAGGTTTAAGAAAGTGTTATCTTGGCCGGGTGCTGTGGCTCATGCCTGTAATCCCAGCACTTTGGGAAGTTGAGGCAGGCGGATCACGAGATCAGGAGTTCGAGACCAGCCTGACCAATGTGGTGAAACCCCGTCTCTACTAAAAATACAAAAATTAGCCAGGCGTGGTGGTGCGAGCCTGTAATCTCAGCTACTCAGGAGACTGAGGCAGGAGAATCACTGGAACCCGGGAGGTGGAGGTTGCAGTGAGCCAAGATCGCACCACTGCACTCCAGCCTGGGTGACAGAGTGAGACTCCGTCTCAAAAAAAAAAAAAGAAAGAAAAAGAAAGTATTATCTTGCCTGAGGTGGGTGGGTAGAGTAGATAAATGCTTTTTCTAGAATGGCAGTGATTCTGAAAATGCAATGAGAATATGAGGTGATTAAAAGTAGAGGAGAGAATGAGGTTAGTTGTTGGAAATGGGGTCCTAAAGTATGAAGGGCAATTCCATCTACTCTTTTACTAAAAGGACATGACCCTTAAACCCTAAGATAATCTAATATCATTAGGTCCAATTTCTTCTTCATTGAAGATAATATATAGGATATGGTATACAGGTGAGCTTGGCTATTTCTGTTCTGTGGACTCTGAAACCATCCATTCACCCTTGGGATAAGGGGAGATATTAAGAGGGTAGATGGAAACATAAGGATGAGGAAAAAGAAAGTACAAAGGAAAATACAAATTTATTCCTCCATTAACCTGAGGATGGGTTTTTAAGAGTCATGTTGTAAGATATGGATATGAGCTAGATAATTCTGGGAGCTTTTTGTTTGTTTTTGCCACCTGCATACACCTCAGCTGCATGATGATTCTGAGGTTTTTCCTGACAGATCTGATCTAGAAGGATCAAATGTCAGATCATTTTTGTAACAAAACATGATCCCTGGTTTGAACTTTAACAGTTAC